ACTATATAAGAATTAAAAAATTTCTAATGCTATTTTATATAAAATACTTTAGTAACTTCATAAACTGGCCCACAAAAGTGTTCGTACATCTTTTAAAATGCAATAACTTTTTAAAATTGAACTAAATGTCTTTAATTTTTATTAGATGACAAAGGGACTAGTTTACTAAGCAATGACTGAAATGCTTCCTTTTTTCATTTTAAGATAGAAAAAAAGACAGATGAAAAAGTTAAAGAAACAAGGGTCTTTTATTTTTTTTATCATTCCAAGTAGCAGCAAGATTACAAAAAAAGAGCATTTTAGTCATTGTTTAATAGACTAATTCGTCTAGCATCTACTGAATCTTTCGAAACATATTCTTCATTCTAATTAGTATTTATGACGAGAGATTTTGTAACATATTTGATATTCAAATTGCTAATAATACTCGAAGATTCTACTAATTTAACATTTTATTTAATACATTGATATTGCTTTTACAACCAAAGGATTATTTCATAGATTGCATATTTTTTACAGATTGCGACTGGGATGATTCTTTTCTTACGTTGTTTGCATGGCGATATGCAAATACGATGCGTCTTCTGAAGGTCCTTCAGGATCATTCTGCTATAGCCGTAAGTACATAGTGCGCTCCTGACGTGCAATGTAAATTCTAAAAATTTCCTCTAAAAACACAATCGGAAATAATAATACTAAAAGAGCTGACATAATAACGTCGAGTTCCTGTGTTAACTCTGCTAACTTCACGCTAGGTTTATAGAGCACTAGCAGCAGCAGTTACTCTATAAAAATAGAGAACAATAATTATTTAGATTTTTAGCGATTTTTATTACGATTGTGACCGAAATTACGATTTTGTTAGCTTTTTCGTTTAAATCGATCTTTCTTCAAAATCCTGAAGTGATGGATAAATTTTACGACCGGATTTGAAATCAGCATGTCAAAATCTACGGGAAATGATGTAATACAATGTATTACACAATGTGTAATACAACACTACATGGTACTGGATGAATCGCAATTTTGCTGGAACATTTCAAGTTTAGTATATTTATACTAGCATTGAACATTTTTTCAATGCTAAAAAATGTTCATACTACATTCTCGCAATTCTCTCCTTATTCTGCAACATTTCAACTTTGACGTAAAAAAATATCATCGCTTTATCTCATTTCTATCAAAAGTTCTTTGATTTTGGCACAATTCCGTCACTTCCTTACTGTCTGCCCCAAAAAATATTTGAGATCTCAAAAAGACAATGAAAGATTAACTATACATTACGTTGTCTTCATAATTAATTAATTTTTAATTACAATTAATTATAATATTTTAAATATAGATACAATAACATTAAGTGAAGCTATAGCTATTTCGTACAAAATTTTCAAATTTTTGCAATATTAATATAATAACCATATTAATAAAAATTGTATTATTTAAATAATTATATAGTTTACTAAATGCATTGTAATGAATCACCCACTAAGAACAAGATACAGAAATATTACGTAAAACACGCTGTTACATCAGAAAAATGAGATGAACCTATCATTACCTCAGCCACCGTATGTCCTATGAAAGAAATTTATGGCATAAATTCCCCATAAATATATCTTTATAGTTTCGATAACCGTAAATTTAAAATTTTTGAACGTGTGAAAATGACGCGTTCCTTAAACCTAGTGTATAAAATCAAGGTTAAGCTGCCACGGGTTTTGTCACGTACGTGGTTAAGAAAGACGGGAAATTACAGGTTATACCCCTCACTTTGCACTTCCACCGCAAGTAGATTCATTATTCAAACATACTTCAACGTATTCTTCAACGTTAAATATACAAAAAAAAACATTATTTCCACTCCCAACAAGGTGACATGCAACAGAAAAGATAAAATATTAGACATATCCAGCTGTATTTAGTTAAATATCTGCTATACAAAATATTCTTCAAATATTAAAGGATCGAACGTACAATCGACAATCTTATTAAATCGACAACCCCCCCCCCCCCTTAGAATTTATTAACAATTTTTAAATCTAGTATAATAAAACTTAGTTATCTGTTACAATATATCAAATATGGATTAGAAAACATAATAATAATTTCAAATTCTTAAAAATTCTCTTAACTCATGAACAATTAAAATCATTGAACCAACTAGTTGTATTTGACGGGTATATTTATAACGCAAAATATAGCAATTTCTTCATGACGAGTATACTCGTCGAAAGCAGCTAACTGGTTAAAAAAGATATATGCTTTGATATTCTTTATTAAATTATGTATTTTATAAAAATATATAAATTTATAAAGTTTATAAAATTTTATAAAAGTGTTGTATTTAAATAAAATATGATGAAAATATAATTACAGTAACTTACACACTTACCAAAGAAATTGCAACAGCTAATTGGTTAAACACCAACTGCGTAACAATAAAGAGAAAATGTTATAGTAAAGTATAATAATAGGTTAGAGGACAACTTGTTACACGAAGTAATAAATAAATTGTGAATCTTTATGCAAGCTAAAAATTGTCTATGTTAACTGTAAGAAATAGAAGTTAGTTGACCATGTCTTTCGTCTTTTAATAATTGTAATAAGTTGAAACTAATTTAGCAATATTTATCAATTTTTTTCGGGTCTTTATAATTTTGTATTTAACCTATCCATTTTTATAATAAATGCATAAAGTGCAGTCTATTGATTACCGAGTGATCTTCTAATTTTTATACTTCGACCAGAAGTGCTTACGAGCATTGAAGTCGTTGCTCGAGCGGGCGAGAGACATTGAAAAAATGCAAGATCGGAACTCACGTTTCATCCCCTTAGAGGATCACTCAACCTTCTACAGACTGCTAAACTCTATCCTCAGTGACCCGCCCAATAATCAAGATTACACTTTCTCCAGTAATTTCCTCCACAATTTGACGCAACTCGGATACCCAGACTGAAACCCACTGAAATTACCTACTAACCTAGAGAAAGTGGATCGTGCATGGATTTCTCTCGTATTTTGGTCTCAGCTCTAATTGCTGGCTTACGTAGTGGTCTTATTGGGCGGAATGGAAAAGAGGAAATTAGAATAGAGAGCGTTAAGACGTTTGGCTGAACGAGGTCTACTCCTACTTTATTAAAGCTGCATAGTCCATAGTGTTATCGCGCGGCAGTACTCTTTTAAAGAAAATTGTCAAACTTCCGTTAGCGATTACTTTCTTTCCAGTTAAATACTCTCTTTACCGGGTTCCCTCCAATTATCGCAAGCCGTAACGTTACTTTCTGGTTAGAAGAGAGGTGCAATAAAAGAGTTATATTAAATTTCTCGAAAATAAGAAAACTAGTCAGTGCTGTCGTTTTCTTTTTGTTACAGAGACATTTATGCATCTGCACCTAGTTATAAATCGTTACCCTGTCAAACACAGCAGTAATATGCGATTGAATTTTGTCGACAGTAAAGATTCAAGTTTTGGTAAGTCATCGAAACGCTTCTCGAATTATTATTGTTAGTGATAAATTTCATTTTGACCACGTTTGAATAAGCATTTCTTGAAGAAAAATACCTTTAATATTAAAACTTTACTGCAATAATGAACACACGCAAATCTTGCGTTAAGAAGTTTCTATTATGGATATCTTTTTTTAATTTTGTTGAAATAAAATGTGCAACCTAAAAATGAAATCGTGTTAGAACAAATAAAATACAAGATGCAGTGAATTGAATAATAGAGAAAGGAAGTTCGATATGATCAATTGAGAAATCATTTAATCGATTTTTACTATTTAATTACGTAATAATTGAAGAAATTATTCCAATATTATATATATTATCTTATATTCTTATATTGTATTATATTACTTCCTATTTATATATATCAGTACTATCAACTTACAAAAAAGACAAAATGAACAAAAATCGATGTAAGTAACACGAAAATATACAAGTACGTTAATGATACCACGCCCATTTAACCGTTTGCATTACGATTTCTTTCACAGCTACGTCGATTAGCACTTCTCCGTCCTTAACAATTTCCCTAGTAGAACAAAATAATTTTTGTTTTTTGATAACCCCAACTATTTTTACAATTAGAAACATCTACAATAGTTGTTGCTAAGATTTGACAATTCGATATGATAATCGGTGCTTCGTTAGAGCTTGGATTGAGCTTAAGTTTCACTACATCGTCGATTATTCCAACCATTTTCCGCGTTTTCACTACCTAAATGCTACTTAGAGATTGCAGAAGACTGCTCCTTTAGGACACATCAAATGCAGTATATATTGCACTAAGCATCTTATTCTGGGAACCATCGCTGATTGTTTAGTGTATCCCGCAGGAATCACAGATAATGACAATGTAATTTTATAAGTTGGAAAGTACTTATTGTTACAGCCAGATTACTGCAAAGTTGGGCAAAATTTTATTCGAATGATGGAGATGAGAAATAGATACTAACGAATAAAATTTTATCCAGCACTATCGAATAAATCGATCAGTAGATAGATCAGTACGTATCTAGCAGACGCATGAGTCAGACACATATACAATCGATTCGCTTTGTTTTAGTTTCCGTGCCTCATTAAGGTCAACTTTACAACGATGTCAGAATCGTCTCGTTTTATTTGTAAAAGTTGTAAAATATCAGTAGTCGACCGGTTGTGTGCAATTACTGTGATGTGGTTTCTCATCCCGGTGTTAAGTACATGGCCAAAACTTTGCATCCCTGGTCGCACGGAGGACTTAGTGATTGCAGAACGGATATTTCGAGTTCTCCTTCTTCTTCCAGCGGCGACTTCGAGGACTTGCTATTGTCAAGATTTCAGTTAATGCTGGACGCATTTCGACACGACTTGGTTTCGGAGTTATCAAATATTTGCTCGGAAGTCTCCAACCTCTCTACTAGAGTTACGGAACTGGAAAACAAATCTTCCATTCTTTACTCCGCCCATGCCTTGTCTGCTGAGGACTTTTTTTATTGAACTGGCCGAGCGTGAATGCCGGTCTTATAATGTTATCACCGCCGACATTTATGTATATATTCCGATTTATTTCGACCTTTTTGTCTTTTTTCTGTTTGTTTGTACTCTTGCAATTGCTGCATAAAATCACTTTCTTTTTATTGTTTTTCCTGCAACAAAAGGGTTTATTACTCGCGTACATAAATAAATATGCAATGAACTAAAAATTTATCAAGATCAAAATTTATCCGTATAAGAATTTATTCGACATTCGCGAAAAAGAAATATTCAAAAGAATATCGATTTCTGCGGGATACAAAATATCCAGGGCACAGAAATTGAGAAAATCATCCTCATAACGTACGTCAGTTACGTTTTGGACTTGATAGGTTTAGCGTTAAATTGTAGAAATTTGGACTGAGAGATGACAGTTAATATAAATTTTATTTTGCAGATAAATAGTGATATGAAATACTGTACATAGTGCAAAGAGAAATGATTCTATTTATAGAGTATAAATAATGTGAGACGCACATATGCGGAAATTGTGGAAATGGTCATTTTGTAAAAACTTATGTATTAGGTTGGTATAGACGGTAAAAATGGTTGATATGACTCGAATTATGTCCCCCTTCGTGCAACCCTTTCATGCCCCCTCTCTCAATTCAAAATAGCTAAAGTGGCCCACAAAAATGTTCCCACACTTTTTAAAACGCAACACCTTTTTCAAAACTGGACTAAGTGACTTCAATTTTTTTTAGATGATAGCGAGACTGGTTTGGTAGATGTTGATCAAAATGCTTCGTTTTAAATGTTGCTACCGCTTAGAATGACATGAGAAAATAAAAAAACTCTCGCTTTTTAAAGCTTTTTTATCTGAGCCTATAACGGTAATTTAAAAAATGCCTCTCCTAAACATTTTATCGAAATCAGTTGACATTGTTGTGAGTTACAACAAATTAAAGATGGAAAAAATCGCAGTTTTATCACGATTTTGGCCAAAAATTGGAAGAAATCTGCAGTTTTTAAAATTGTTCAACTCCTGTAGCTCGACTCTGGGTTAACCGATTTTGATCACATTTTCAGCATGCACGTGAATTGCCGAGATCTACGAAAGGCATTTTTAAAATTTTTGTTATAGGCTCAGATAAAAAAGTTAAAAAACGAGAGATTTTTATTTTTTTTATCATTCCATGTAATAGCAAAATTAAAGAGAGGCATTTTAGCCATCGTCTAATAGACTAGTCCCTCTGCAATCTAAAAAAAATTCAAGTCGTTCAGTTGAGTTTTAAAAAAGCTATTACGTTTTAAACGAACACTTTTATGGGACACTGTATGATTGCGAAACGGTTTTCTTAACGTACGTTAGCGACGCTCGGATGCGTTCAACAGCAGCTTTCGAAAGCGGTTTCCGACGATGGAGGAGCGTCACGAGAAAGGTCGGTGCTTTCGTCCTCCATCTCTACCCCGTGCGTCTGTTTAGTATTCGGGCCACGTTCAACCACTGCCGCCCGCCGGAAGTCTGCATTTGCACCTCGGCGGTCGTCGTCTTCCGTTGCTGTACGCTGTCGGAAATGCCCACCCGCAAGAGACCTATACGCACTACCGCCCTCTTCGGCAATTCCAACAATTCAGCAGTGCTGCTATGTCCACTACATATTATTATTACTATGATTGTTATGATCATCATTAATCATTATTGTTATTGTTAACGTTACGTTGTATGCCAACGTCATTTCATTATCCCCTTATGAAACATCCGAAAACCGTCTACAAATTTATCATTTCACCCTCGACTATTTGTCAAACGTTGTCTCATCCTCGATATTTGTACTTGCATATGCAATCCTTTACCTGACACGTCATATTTATGTCGTTATGGTATTTATGTCGACGGCCGAAGAATGCGTTGCATTTTTCTGCTTTGCTGATGTNTAAAAAAGTTAAAAAACGAGAGATTTTTATTTTTTTTATCATTCCATGTAATAGCAAAATTAAAGAGAGGCATTTTAGCCATCGTCTAATAGACTAGTCCCTCTGCAATCTAAAAAAAATTCAAGTCGTTCAGTTGAGTTTTAAAAAAGCTATTACGTTTTAAACGAACACTTTTATGGGACACTGTATGATTGCGAAACGGTTTTCTTAACGTACGTTAGCGACGCTCGGATGCGTTCAACAGCAGCTTTCGAAAGCGGTTTCCGACGATGGAGGAGCGTCACGAGAAAGGTCGGTGCTTTCGTCCTCCATCTCTACCCCGTGCGTCTGTTTAGTATTCGGGCCACGTTCAACCACTGCCGCCCGCCGGAAGTCTGCATTTGCACCTCGGCGGTCGTCGTCTTCCGTTGCTGTACGCTGTCGGAAATGCCCACCCGCAAGAGACCTATACGCACTACCGCCCTCTTCGGCAATTCCAACAATTCAGCAGTGCTGCTATGTCCACTACATATTATTATTACTATGATTGTTATGATCATCATTAATCATTATTGTTATTGTTAACGTTACGTTGTATGCCAACGTCATTTCATTATCCCCTTATGAAACATCCGAAAACCGTCTACAAATTTATCATTTCACCCTCGACTATTTGTCAAACGTTGTCTCATCCTCGATATTTGTACTTGCATATGCAATCCTTTACCTGACACGTCATATTTATGTCGTTATGGTATTTATGTCGACGGCCGAAGAATGCGTTGCATTTTTCTGCTTTGCTGATGTATTTACGTGACTCCTGTATTTTTATTTACATCAAGTATGGATAATGCCGAGATGCCTGGGAAAAGCAGAAGTGAAAGCATTATATAGAATAAAGTTACTGTACATTTAAAGAATTTTTGTCGAATATTGCCCTGACGAAAAATATGTTGACGCAATGAAACTTTTATTTTATGAATAAAATATCAACGTGTCATAATTATTTTTTAATTGTATTATTAGACTAATGATTTGTAGGATATTTTTACACATTTCTGTCGTGATGACAAGTACTTTTTATTTGTAATGCGCCGAAAACTAGAGAGCTACAAATATCCGTCAGGGTGCGCATTTATAAAAGAAGAATAGAAGGAAAAAATTTGCAACAAATTGTACATGAGTTTGGAATATCTAAGAAAGCTGTTAGAAAGATATGCCAAAAATTACAAAAGACCGGTAAATCTGAAAACTCGATGAGATCGGATAGAAAAAGAAAAACAACTGCTCGCAAAGATCGGTTAATCACTAAAGAAATACAAAAATCCGTATATTACTACACAATAAATCAAAGAAAATCTTTGTTTACTAATATCGATCACGCAAATCAAATCTCGCATTCATGAAAACGATATTTATGGACGGATATCGAGAAAAGGACCATACATTTCAAAAGTGAATAGACGAAATTTTACTAAATTTTACTAAAGAGCATTACAATAAGCCGATTTCATTTTGGAAATCTATAATCCGGAGCGATGAATCGAAATTTGAACTGAATTCAAACGAAAGGAAAAAATATTTATGGAGGAAAA